ATCATAGGCACAACTTCATGACCTAATTCCTAGAAGATCATGGCCAAAAGCCAGATGATCCTTCAGAGAGAAAATTGAGAAAGGTAGGACAAATTTGGGTTATGAAAAAAATGCATGATGGTTATTCTTCTAACTTAGCAAGATATGATGATGTTAAAACATGAAATGGAATAAAAAGTCACGATTGTCATATTTTCATGGAACAATTACTTCCGATTGTGTTCAGTTCACTACCCAACCATGTGCTTAATCCACTTACAGAAGTGAGTTAAATTATTAGAGACATTTGTGCATCAACTTTAAGAGTATACAACATCATTAAATTAGACCAAAATATTTTTGTCATTCTCTGTAATTTTGAGTAAGTCTTTCTGCCTACTTTCTTTGATTTTATGGATCATCTTCATGTGCATATTGTATATGAAGTTTTTCTTGGTGGACCTGATCAATATATATGGATGTATCTATTTGAAAGGTTCACGAGTTATTCAAAGTAATAAGTGAAAAATAAGAAAAGATTTGAGGAATCCATATGTGCACATTACATGCATCGGGAAACATCACATTTTCCTCTTATTATTTCAATCACATGATGTTAAATCTAAGAGTCTTAAGGAAAGATGTTGAATTTAGTGAAAGAAGTAAATTTACCTTATCATTCTTTGGTCGTCTTGACCGTCCTTCTAAAAAGACGAGTATGCTCGAAAAAGAATTACAATATGGTCATACTCATGTGTTGATTAATTGCGTTGAAGTTAAATCATATATTGAATAAGTATATCAAAGTACATATTTATTTTGAACACCTTGGATATAATACTTGTTACCTTCTAACTTATACTTTATTTTGATATAGGACATTTAATACCTATTATTTTCAAAACACCGATGAACAAACATCGACTAGTTACATACATGCCTATTTTCTAGCATGATTTAAGTAATAATTATCATGCATTGTTGCTCCAACTCTAGAAATACTCTATTTGAGAAGCTTGTCTCAAGGCCCTCATCAACGTGCAAATGAATGGAGAATATACTTTGTGAATGAATATAAATTTCATACTCAAACAAGGACATAAGAGAAGAAAACCATAAACAACAGTGCATTCATAAGAGATCACTACCTAGTTAATCATAACTTTAACTACTTTCATGATTATTAAAATATTTCCAATTACACTTTATTCATTTATTATTATTATATTTTGGATTTTATACAACAAACAATGCATGATAAATGCATTTGGGACAAAAGAGATCACTACTTACTTAAATGTTACTTTCACTATATATGTGCAATCCGACTTTCTGACTGCTTAGGCATGTTAGATTTGACTGGATTGTCTATGAACGACGTCCTCATTGGATAGGTGAGGAGTTATTTTAAGAATTAATTGTCTATTAGAATTAAGAATAGTTTAAGAGGGATTTGGATCCTCTTTTTTTTTATATATCCTGCCATTTCTCATATTTTTAATCTAACGATTCAGAATTTATAATGAATAATTAAATTAAAAAGTCATTTAATAGGAGAGAGAAATGAATTTTAAGAGAATATCTAAAAAAAGCAACCAAAAAAAACAGAGCATCTAAATTAGGAGGCTACAATCACACATAATAAAGTATCAGTGCTACCCAAGTTACACAATAATTGGTAAATTTAATAATTTATTAATTGTGTTTTAATTTATTTTTACGTTAATTAAATATAATTTGTTTTTTAATTATGCTTTTATTTAATTAATTTGTGGACACGGGGAGAGTTCCACTTCTGAATGACTTTTATGAGGTGACTCATACCAAAAAGACTAGCGAGTTTGTTGATGAACATTTTAGAAAAACTCAAATAAGTTTTTATTACATTTAGTCATTTTATTTAATTCTTCTATATAAATAAAATATTTAAATTCTTTTATATTACTAAATTATTAAAATTCTAATAAAATCTAATTTATTTAATTTTTGTATGTATATATAGAAGGATTATAAAAGACAAATCACACTTTACGATTCTCAGCATCCTTAAGTAGTAGTAACGACATGGCCATATGTCAACACATACATGTAATGGTATAACTAGAGGGAAGAAGAAAAATGAGAGAATGTATGGTGCTGGTTCTATGCTCACAAACTTCAAGCCATGAGATAAGTGTTTGAGCATGAGAATTGTTCCAATTCTTACCGCTGAAATGTTAGAAGTTATGAGAAATTTAGCACAATGTGAGGCATTAAGCAAAGTAGTAAGACAAGCAAGAATGGAAGAAACGTGGAAAAACAATTAGAGTTAAAGGGTGAAATGAAGAGAAAAAAATTGGAGTTAAAAGTTGAAATGAGGAGTAAGCAATTGGAGTTGGAGAAAGCATCGAGTTGCAAATGAATATTAATATATATAATGAATATTAATAATTTTTAATAAGCTTAAAATCTAATAAAAAATTAACCTTAGATTGAATCTAATATGAGATATCATATATAATAATTATTAATATATTAAAATCATTCCTATTTGTAAATATATATATATATATATATATATATATATATATATATATATATATATATATATATATATATATATATATATATATATATATATATATATATATATATATATATATATATATATATATATATATATATATATATATATATATATATATATATATATATATATATATATATATATATATATATATATATATATATATTGTGTCAAAAAAAATCTTCATTAATTCACTATAAAAATAGAAAGCCTAAAATCATTGAAAATTATATTTAGACTTTTAACACTGCGACAGAAAAAAAATCTTGCACTACCCACTTCTTCTATTCCTTTTTTTAATCTAAATTTGAGAAGATCTTTTATCAACTATGTGAGTATATTTTCTTTATCGATCCCGTTAGTTGTAGTTTTATCAATTTGTTACATTATGCTATTGAACATGTTTTGTAGTTTAATTAGTTAATTTGTTATTTTTATTAGTCCATAATTATGTTGATACTTTTTTTGTGTCTACAGAACATGTGTGAGTTTATTTTGGTCACTGAGGCATCTAGTAGAGGTTTAGAGTCAAGCCAATGATTAAAAAAAACAGGTGTTATTGTTTACTAATTTATTGTTATTATTTATTCATTATATTTATCGGCTTGTTATTTGCGCTTTTTGAGTTGTTGAAATGTTTCTTAGAAAAACAACTTTCCGGTCATCAAAAGCGGCAAAGAAAGAAACAAATTAAAATTGTTGTTAAATCTCAAAAGGGTGCTTTAGATAAGTCTTTTAACAACAATTCTATAATTTCTATTCAAAATGATGTGAACCCAGATAACTTAGATTCTATGGTTGAAAATTTTGAGGATGAACAATCAAACAGAAATAATGAAGAAAATTTTGAGGATGAACAATCATACAGAAATAATGAAGAAAATATTATTTTGAATGTAGATAATAATGAAAATGAGAATATCCTTGATTTTGCTAATGAAGAACCTAATGAGCTTATTCCATTAGATATTTATGAACCAAGAACATGGAATAACCTTAAAAATGATTTAAGGGGTGAATTGCTAAAAAAATGGTCCTAAAAGAGATGTGTCAATTGTAACAAAAAATGTTAGGAGGGTGATATTCAAAGATTAATAGACGAAGATTGCAGCTATTGTGAGAATTTGAATGCTACTAATACATGTTAGGATTGATAGATACATTATAACTACTTTTGTCATAATTTTATTGTACTTTTGATTTGGTGTAAAATTTTCAATATTAATGTAATTTTCTACTTTTTTTTTTTTTTTATAATTATACATTTATAATTATATGACTTATAAATCTGGTAAAAAAATGAATTAAGAAAAAGGGCAAAAAAATTAATAATTTCGGCAGAACACTTAAAAGTGTCGGGGACGGTCCTGAGTTTAACCCTTAGCAAAATACGTGTAACATCACCAATCTACTGCACTGCTGACACCTACCTGCTTCTCTGCGTGACTATATGTGTTACTCCCTTCGTCCCACAATGAGTGATCCATTTGGAATAAAAGAGTGTTATAAGATGAATGATCAATTTCTATTTTCCATACGTCTTTTTCAAGTTTATCCTCTAATTAATACTTCCTCTGTCCCAAATTATAAGTCATTTTGCCAAAAAAAATTGTTTCAAATTATAAGTCATCTTACATTCTCAATGCAATATTTATGATATTTTTTTCAATATACCATGAAGTCATACATAATTTGTCTTTTTTATAAAGTAATAATAAAGTTTCTTAATTTGTGTGAAATGATCAAAACGTCTTATAATCTGAGACGGATGTAGTATTATTTTCATCATTCCTAATACATGATAAGAATATTTTAGTAAAATCTTTTATTTATTCTTTTTACCTAATATATTTAAAAAGTCAATTGAATCATTTATTGTAGAACGGAAAGAATGGTGAATTAGTTCTGTTAGCCTATAGTTTTTTGCTAGGGTTAATCTCCATGGAGGGTAGTCTCCCAATAAAAAAATTGTAACAGCGTGTGTAGTGAAATGATTATGCTTTATTTTAAATTAAAATCTTCTTTGAATAGGAATCAGATAAACTAAATTTTTTATGGAGTATTTTTTTTATCCAAGTTGTATAAGAAGAGTAATTAAGGTTCATTATAATAATTCAACTGAATATGTCACAAATCAAATTTTGAATATGGACGAAGATAAAATCATGTTCCAACAATTTCCTATTATACATTAGTAGATGAAAGTAAAATGGCTCATCAATAATTAAGAATCAGAAAAATTTAGTTTATACCATAAAATATTCAAATATAAGTGAATATTTATTCAGAAACTGAGATTATGATTTCAACTACAACAATTTCACATAGTATGGACAACACAATCACTAAGTTGTTATTTTCACATATAACAATTTAAAGTAGACAACATAATGATATTAAAAGAGACAAGGCTACATTATTCAAACAGAAAAGTTCAAACTTCAAACAAATCAAATTAATTCATTCTTCTGCGAATTCCACCTGTTCTGTTGTGTGATTGCCTCAGTCTTACGTTAAACATGTGTTCAAAGAATCTTACAAGTCTTTGTGGTTTTTCCAAGAAGAACACATTGAATCCCAAGAGCAGTCCAAGTATTGCGCCACACACATATCCTGCTACCACTGCCTTCCATCCAAATCCTGATTCCTCTTTATCTTCTGATGTTGATTTTGATGGCCCATTTTCATCCTTTTTGCAAGATTTCGACAAAGGTAATCCACATAACATTGTATTTCCTTCATAAGAATCACTTCCAAATGTATCAAACTGTTGACCTTTAGGTATGATTCCCTCAAGATGGTTTTGTGAAAGGTTTAAGACTGAGAGGAAATTCAAATTTGTCAAACTTGTTGGAATCTCACCTATCAATTGGTTCCTTGAGAGATCCAATCCCTCCAAATTTCTCAATTTACTCAAAGATTGAGGAATATTACCTGTGAGTTCGTTCTTTGAAAGGTTGAGACCTCTGAGAGAAATTAGTTCTCCAGTCTCATGAGGTATTTCTCCGACAAACATGTTGTTTGACAAATCAATTATTGTAAAAATAGTTGATATCCTTGTTAGCTCCCTAAAAAAACCTTTCATTACGACCACCACAGAATCAGTATAGTAATAGGAATTACCAATGTATTTCAAACCAGTTTGGCTGTCATTCACATTCATCATTCCTTGAAAGTTCTTGATGCATGATGTTGGCAAGGGTCCACTTAAATTGTTATGAGATATGTCAAAAATTCTCAACTTAGAGAATGAATGCTCAGTGCTAGAACATGTGATTTTACCATGAAGTTTATTTTGATCGGAGACGGAGTACTCGTAACTCTTGTAGAGTTTCAAGCCAATTTGGAAATGCATCTTCTATGTTGTTATCTCCAAGGTCTAAAATTTCAAGATTTGAGCAGCGAGCCAAAGAGCGCGGTACTGGTCCTTCCAATTGGTTGCCATTCAACTTTATTGTCTCAAAACTATTTTCTTTGGAAAAGGTTCTAGGCATGCTTCCATTGAAATTGTTCATTTGCATATCCAATACAGAAAGAAAAGGAAATGTTCCCAAACATTGTGGTACTGTCCCTGTTAAATTGTTGTGAGCTAAATTGAGCACCTCCAATGAACTTGCATTGCACAATGACAAAGGAATGTCTCCTGTGAAATTGTTATTTGAGAGTAAAAGGTATTGAATGCCATTTGGAGGAACTGGAATATCTCCTTGCAACTTGTTGAAACTAAGATCAATGAGTTCAATTTTCTTCAACGAGCTTAAGAGATGACTTTGAAACCATTTGGAAATTTTCCCATGAATGTTGCTATTAGAGAGATCTAATACTTCTAAATTTGGTAGTGGTGCTAGGAATTTAGGAAAACGATTACTGTTAGTTGACGATAAATATTGAAAGTGAGGTGGGAGGGTTTTAGCTTTGCTATCAATGTTGATAGAAAGAGCACTATTGTGCGAAAGATTGAGGAATTCTAGATTTTTAAATGTTAAAAATTGGTGAAAATGCACAACACCACTCAAGTTTGTTGATGACAAATTTAAGATAGTAAGATTTTGGAGTTTAAATATTGAATTTGGAAAATGACCATGGAAGTTGTTATTAGAGAGATCCAAATATTCTAATGAATGAGTTGAGAAGTCACCAATGAATCCTGTGAGCTGGTTGTCGTTGACGCTCAATTCTAACAAAGAAGGCAAATAATAACACCAATGTGGAATTGTTCCATTTAACATGTTATGTCTTAAATAAACAATGCTCAATTTTGATTTTTTTTTTATTTCACTTGGAATTGGGCCAACTAGTTTATTACCAGAAAGTGATAAATACTCTAATTTGATTAAATTTTCAAAAACATTTGGAATGTTGCCGCTAAATTTATTAAATCCAAGATGTAAGAAAGTGAGGTTTGTAAGTGTTGAAAGTAATGATGGGATCTGACCCTCAAAATTATTTCCAGCAAGGTTCAAGTATGTAAGTTGAGTGAGGTTCCACAAAGATGGAGGAAGCATTCCATTAAAAATGTTCCATGATAAGTCTAAAAAAGTAAGAGACTTCAACTGATCTATGAAATAAGGAATTTCACTTGACAAATATCCTTGCAACCCAGTGTCACTTAGACTAAGAGAAACCAATGAGGATGACAAGTTCTTTAGGATAGACAAAGAGCTACCTTCTATTGAACTCATATCGACACGATCTAAATTAAGCTCTCTTAAATTAGTAGCATTAAGAATGAGTTTCTTCCATGTGAATGGATTGAATTTCAACTTAGAAGTGTAACTACTAAGATCAAATGATACTAATTTTGACAAATGAGAAATTGTTGAAGGAATATTACCTGTGAGGTCACAATATGATAGATTTAGATGTGTGAGACTCACTAGATCACCAATGCCATCATGGAGTGTTGACCAAGAAAAATCATTAAAAGCCAAGTTGAGCTGTTGAAGATGCGTAAGTTGAAAGATAGTGCTGTTGGGATGTAATTCACCTTTCAGATTATTGCAACTAAGGTCCACACCAATGACATAGTCGGACACGTCGTCGCACGTGACACCATCCCACTCGCAACAGTCTGTATTATTTTTCCAAGATTCAGAAAAAGAGGAAATACTAGTAAACCAAGGATAATCGGGTTTAGATGAAGCGTTGAGAGAAAAAGAGTTCTTGAATTGTAACAATGCAGAGCTCTCATGAGGGTTACATAGTGAGAAGGATTTGGAAATAAAAAGAGTAAGAAGCAATAAAAACAAGTGAATGGAAAAACAAGGCAATACAAAAAGTAAAGATCCCATTTAGTGTTTGATTTAGGATGTAGCAATTGATTATCCTCTCTTTATATAGATAGAAACGAAGCACAGAAGAATTTGTGTTGTTGAAACTTTAGAAATGATTGGTGTTACTTTATGACGTGTATGGACGGAAGAAAAATAAAATGTGCTTTTTTTCAAAGAGGGAGACCAAGACTTTTGAACCCTGTGCACGTACCAATCACAAACAATGAGTAATTTTATTAAAAATTTGATTGATTAAATCAATAAAATAATAACATTAATTAAGCACACAAAAAAAATATATTATAAGATTTTTTTTAAATTTGTTTTTTAGCAATTAAAAATTAATTTTGACATCATATAACATAAACATAATCATAACACAATCAAAATTACAATAGAGAAAAGCTTACCTTTAATTAAATAATAAAAGAATACCATCATTGGAGCAGCCTACTAGAGGTTTTCCTCAGGACTGTTCTGTTCCTTCCTTTTATTAACTCTCCTAACTAACCTAGCCTATATACAGTTAAAGCTATCATTAGTTCAGTTAGTTGCCGGTCGTAGCTCCCTACAACAATCAAGCCTTATTCTGGTAGGTCTAGCTAGCTAGGCAAGGATCAGGATCCTGAAAGAGAGAAATAAAGAAAAAAAGTCTAAATGGTTGTGGTTCAATTAGGCCTAAAAAAAGAAATTGAAAAAGAAGATAATGAGATTTAAAATATGTCTAAGTTGATTATTCTTTGGTCAATCACAACATTCTGATGCTTTTGATATGTGATGTATTTTAGAGTTTTACCAAAACAATCATTTTGGTTCCATACGCCGAAGAAAGAATAATGAGTTGTTTACATGCAAATAAAATTTTCAATATACAAAATGATATATATTTCTGTTCGATCAATTTATTTGATTTCTCTCCATTTTTCAGTTGTTTTTGTACAGTACCTACATTTTTCAATATGCACCTTTCATTAAAAAATGCTTCCATTTTCCCCCCTCAAGACTGTTTTTGTATGCATATATCACTTTGGAAGACAGCTAAAGTATTGGTACTGGCATATTGTGCCATGTTTTTGTAGGTCGTGATAATCAGGCCATCTCTTTCAAGACACACCCTAACATGAATAAAGAGCTATTTGCCCATGACTATATACTAGGTCTAAAGGATCCTAATAGGCCTTTCCCCACCGGTTAAGCCAGTGATGCTGCAGGTGTTGGTCTTTTAAAGTGGAGAATGCAAAGCACCGATGAGTCATTGGTGCCACTGACAAGTGAGTTAATATCTATCATGAATGTGGTCAACTACTTTATTTTCATGCAATAAGAACTGACAGTGTCACATATATTTCAAATGCAGTCAACTGTTTATCATCTTCTTCTGGAAATAAAACTTATGTCAACATTGAATATGAGGCTTCATCAATGTTTGATTTGCATAATATTGTGATTTCAGTACCTCTTCCAGCTCTTCGAGAAGCACCATCTGTTAGTCAGATTAATGGAGAATGAAGGTGTGTAATTTGTTGTTTTTCTTCCCTGAACAATCATGTTTTTGGTTGAAGTCAGTTGTAAATTGTTGTGGTTAGTAGAATCTGTTACACATCCGGGAGCTTTAAACCATTGATCAGATTTTCATGCATTATATTGTTTAATGGAACTAATTTTGCTTTCGCACATCACCCATCCCCTCCCAAAATCACCAATTGATGATGTCTTTCATATTCTTACTTACATTTATAGCTCAAATCATTTTACTTTACTCACATTCTTATGCACTTGATATTTCCCTAATAAAATTAGTTTGCAGGTATGACTCTAGGAATTCCATTTTGGAGTGGTATGTCCTTCTAATTGACAATTCAAACCGCAGGTATGCTAAGTTTGGAGTGACTTATTAAGATTTAATTTTAAGCTTTAGATTTGTTTTGTCTGATCTTAAAAATTTGGCAGTGGGTCAATGGAGTTTGTTGTTTCACAAGCGGATTCATCAGCATTCTTTTCCATTTCAGTTCGTTTTGTAGCAACTGAGACATTTAGTGACCTGAAGGTTTGTGTTTTTCTTTATGGTACTCAGTTTTATTATGGGTAGTGGATTTAGTGTAATTTGAAACATGTGTCAAAATTTGAAACGGACATTTATTAACCCAAAAATGTTTGTATGGCTGGAAAGTTTTTTCAACTCATTTGCCCTCTGCTATGGATAATATATGGTATTATTAGCTTGAATGTTGAGGTACTGGGATCTTAACCTTTTTTGTTTATCTTTAAACGTAACTTTTTATTTTATAGATCAATTATTTTAAAAATTATCTTTATTAACTACTTAATTAAAAGATGATTATTTATCAAAGTTGAACATATAATTTTTTTTAATTAATATTTATTGTATAATTATATATGTGATAAATGTTAAGATGTTACAAAATTCTTTAAGAAACCATGTTTTTTAAATATTACTTTTCCAAATCTTAAAGGAAAGTTATTTTAGAAAATTTATTTTGTGACTCTTCAAAAATACTACAAATAAATAACATCAGGTTAAGATACACATAAATATAAAATAATAATTTTTTTTATCGCACGAGCTTATAATACATATTTTATTTTAATTAATAACTGTTTTTATTTGAGAGATAAATTTCTTATTTTTAAATGTAAAAAATTAACTTTTATTTTTATTTTTTCTTTTCACATGTTATTTTTTATATTATTATTTAATACAATTAAATTTATATGATCGGCTGAATTTATATGATCAACGTTAATTTTACAATTAAATAACTTATTTAAAGTTTATATGTCCATTTAAATACAATTTATATTGTATCAATTAAATTTATTCGGGCTAGCTATCAAATAAATTTCAAGCTAAACTTGACATTTATATATGGTATTTTAATTAACAATTACATTTATTTGATCAGATATAAAATCTTTATTTTTAAATATCAATTTTTTGTTTTATTTTTTTCCATTAGACATGTCTTATTTTTATCTTTTTAAATGCTTGTTTAATGCAATTGATTTTATATGATCATTACTCATTTTACAATTAAGTAATTTATTTTAAATTTACAGTAAATTGCTATTTTCTTTTGTAAAGACGAAGAAACAAATTCTATTTTATCTACGCTTACGCTCGACTATTTACTACGGCGACGAAGAATCAAATTATCACTATATTGATTCGTTTTTCTAGTTCTTCTTCCAAGTGCAGGATAACCCCAAGGAGTTGAGGGTTTTTTTCTACCAATTGGGGCCCTCCCTTCACCACCCCCATGTGGATGGTCTACAGGGTTCATAACGACCCCTCTTACTACAGGACGCTTGCCTCGCCAACGTTTAGCTCCGGCTCTGCCCAAACTTTTCTGGTTTACCCCAACATTCCCTACTTGTCCAACTGTTGCTGAGCAGTTTTTGGATATCAAACGGACCTCGCCAGAAGGTAATTTTAATGTTGCTGATTTACCTTCTTTTGCAATCAGTTTCGCTACAGCACCCGCTGCTCTAGCTAATTGTCCACCCTTTCCAAGTGTTATTTCTATGTTATGTATGGCCGTGCCTAACGGCATATCGGTTGAAGTAGATTCTTATCAAAACCCCTTCCCAAACTGTACAAGCTTCTTCCAAAGCATACGGCTTTCTGGATGTAGATTCTAATATCTATACAGCTGCATCTTATATATCGTTTATTTCGTAGATTATAAATGACATAACGAAGTACCATACCACATGAGTGGATATATATTATACGAATCCAAATCTTCCGAATGACTCATGTTATGATCTTCTACATCCTAGGTCTTTCTGTTCCGTTCCTTCATCTGGCTTATGTTCTTCATGTAGCATTCAGACCGAATGACTCTATGAAATTACGTTGCTACTTACACCTAGTACGGGTAACGTAGGAGACATTTCTATTTTTTCCCGGGGGAATCCTTAGAATTACCACTGCTTCGCTTTCAATTTGTCCTTGACCATCAAATGAAATGTGAATAATCCGGGTCTTCCCTTTATTTGTTTGAAACGAGGAGCGCTTCGTGTTCTGTCGGTGCTTGAAACAATTTTGTCTTCTCCATATTACTATATCTCTAGGGTCAATAATGGTATATTAGCAACTACTGAACTCAATCACTTGCTGCCGTTACTCTTCAGTTTTCTGTTGAAGTCTATCCTGTAGAGGTACTCCAATTGGATAAGAGATCGATTTCTAGGTTTCGCCATAAACCTAATTGGTTACTTCCAATTACGTAAATCAATAGTTCAAACCACACTCAAAGGTAGGGCATTTCCCATTTTTATAGGAACTTCTGTACCATAAACAATGGTATCTCCAATTATAGCCCCTCTGGGGTGTAAAATATATCTTTTCTCACCATCCCCATAGTGTATGAGACAAATGTGTGCATTTCGATTAGGGTCATATTCTATAGTTATGATTCTACCATATATGTCTTTTTCATTGCGTCGAAAATCAATTTTACGGTATAGACGCTTATGACCTCCCCCTCTATGCCCTGCGGTAATAATTCCTCTGGCATTACGCCCTTTACAACAATGATGTTGTCCAGAAATCAAACGATTTCGTGAATTGGATTTCACTTGACTGTTTAAGGCTCCATTGCGTGTGCTCGGGCTCGAAGTTTTATGTATCGCCATGTTATTAATTGTTTAAGTTCTTTTCTTTCTAACTAAGAGGTGGAATAGAATAACCCGATTCTAAGGAATCGAATAAGCCGGTTCAAGCATAATGATCATACGTTTGTAATGCATTGTATGTCCCATAATAGGTCGCATTCTTCTACCGTTTCTTGGGAGTCCATCGTCCATTGATACAGATCAAATGTTATTATAACTATTCTAACATAATTGGATTGAATCGACCACACCTTTGTTATTGATGGATGATGAGATTCCATTGATATTGATACGGATCCAATCGTTTTTTTTTTAAAAGAAGATAAAGAATGAATATAGTCAATATAATTCAGATAATCATGTAGCTGTATTTACAAATTTCATTCTGTAACAAAAATCGAGTGGGGGATATTTCTATGGGGATGCATCCAGTAGGAATTGAACCCACGACTTCGCCAATTATGAGTTGGGTGCTTTAACCACTCAGCCATGGATGCTTCGAGGAAACCCTCCGACTTCATCACTAACCCAATTTCAATTGAAGTCAAATCTTTTGGATAAATCAATTTCTCTATGTATGTATCCTTTATCTAATACATACATAGAGAAATTGATTAAAGATAAGATATATATATCTATAGATTTCGACTTTTTTATTGATCACTCCTAATAGATATCAAACACATCTCTGCACAAATTGAATTGATATAGAAAGTATCAATTAGAATAAAAAAATGCGGATATAGTTGAATGGTATAATTTCTCTTTGCCAAGGAGAAGACGCGGGTTCAATTCCCGCTATCCGCCGTTACTTCTGTATTGAATAGTATATTTCTTGATATTATCAAATATATATATATAAGTGAATTTCCATTTTTATCCCCTAATATATTACAAAATGTCGCATTAGCCAATGATCTAATTAGCGGAATAATTGGAACTATTATATCCAAATTTTGGATAACAATTTCGATTAGAAATGTATTTTGCAGCATTTGACTCCGTACCACAGAACGATTTTGCAGCATTTGACTCCGTATCAACATTTGCTACATTTTCTTTTATTTATATGTTTTTATTATGGATCATTAATAATATTTGTCAAATATATATTATATTTTCTATTTTCGGTAAGACAATTTATCATTCTTTAATTTAATTATTATAATATTATAATTTTGATTTAAATGCACTTTTGTCTCTCTATTTATAAATTTTTAACGTTTTAGTTTCCTTTTTATTTTTTCATACTTTTAATCCCAAAAGTTGTTATTTTTTGGGATTTTTTTAGTCCCTTTTGATTATGTGGCGCTCAGAAATGTGATTGGGCATGGTAAGTAAGATGTCATGTCATTTAATGAATTGTCAAGTTAATGACATGACATGAAATTTATATTTTCATCATTTTATAAACCTGTAAACTATTTTAGATTGTGTTTATATATTAAAGAACTCTAATTTTTTCAACTGTTTCCATTTAATTTCTTCAACTGCTTTCAAAATATCTCAAATATTTTAACCGATATATCTCAAAATATCATAATTACAATATCAAACAAATTTACCCGTGCAGGAGCACGAGTGTTATACTAGTTTTTCAAAGAGGGAGACCAAGACTTTTGAACCCCGTGCACGTACCAATCACAAACAATGAGTAATTTTATTAAAAATTTGATTGATTAAATCAATAAAATAATAACATTAATTAAGCACAAAAAAAAGTATTATAAGTTTTTTTAAAAAAATTTGTTTTTTAGCAATTGAAAATTAATTTTGACATCATATAACATAAACATAATCATAACACAATCAAAATTACAATTTTCTTAAAAAGTTATATCTCAATGATTTTAATTAAAAACTATTTAAAATTATTTTGAAATTAAATAATTTTCTAAAATTGTGATATCCATTTTTTTTAATAAAATGATAAAATACGTAAAATAAAATTTTTAAAATAATTATTCAAACCAAATTTTTAGTCTAAATCCATAAGTGAGAAGAAAATGAAAACATGCATTGAATAACTTCTTGTCTTTATACAAGGGATGACCTAAATGTTTTTCACAACACTCCCATAAAAAAGAACAAGTCAAAAGTGATTACCAAAAAAAGGACCCCACTTAGAGTTGTTAGAAATAATTTATACTTTATAAAATTTAGTGATTAAGTTTTGTTAGAAGGTAATTTAGTACTTTAGTATGTTGTCTTTGTGACCCTAGTTTTTTGTGTATAAATAGACTAGTGCTAGATGTCATTTTGTAACTCTTCCTTACAAGTTTTGTAGCCGTCATTTGCATAATACATTTTTTTCAATTAAAATATCAAACAAACTCAAAATTAAAAAAAAAAAAAAAAAACCAAAATTGCTACCTTTATAGAAGGAGTCGCCATATGAAATGACTGATCAAAGTCGCTCTGATCTGAGTCGTCATAAAAATGACTGATCAATGTCACTCTGATCTGAGTCGCCATTTTATATGGCGTAAGGGTATAAAATTTGAAACACTACCCTACACTGAGTCGCCATACCATATGGCGCCTCAGTTGTAGGATTTTTTTTAATATATATTTTATTTTTTGTTAAAAAAACATATAATTACAAAAATAATAAAATTGTTCATTTTTAATATTTTGTAAAAAAAATATAATTAAGAGAAATAATAAATTTTGTAAGGGTAATAAACATGACTGGGTGAGACTCCCTCATCCTCGTTGTTTACCATGTCATCCACAATGACTTCAACTGCTTCTTCTTCTTCATCAATGACATCGACTTCAACGTGTTCGTCACCAAATTCGTAAAAAACTTGAGAAAAATCAAGTTGTTGAGACAATTGTTGTTGTTATAACGTAACATATAGCTCAATATCTGAGAAACCGGAATACTCATGACTTCGAAACATGTTACGCTCATCTTCATCATCTCGAATCTTTAATTGGAAAACTTTACATTGCTCGTGCCCGCCAAAAACACAGGATTCTTGTAGATTATTTGGCCAACTTGACCACACTGTAATTTCTTTTCTAATCTCGATTTCAAGTGTAAAAAATTTGATCTTTTGTCAATTGATTGACACCCCGTAACATCAGTATTTCGAAAATTGATACCGGCTGAGTTACATTAAAAAACTTCACCATTTAAATGTGCATTGATCATGTATTGTGATGTTTGAGTCATAACTAAAATGTTACTAAACTCGTGTTTGAAAGGATTGTTTTACTAATTAATATGTTAATATAAATCAACTATCTCTATTGTATTAATAGCAATAAAGTGTTGTTTTTATTATTAAATCTGCACCCATCACATGTCTCTGCGTGCCTACAAGATTTTCTGCACGACAAGACTACACTCTGCATAACTACACTCTGTGTGCCTACACTCTGCGTGCCTACAAGATTCTCTGCACGACAAGACTACACTCTGTATGGTTACATTATGTGTGCCTACACTCTGCGTGCCTACAAGATTCTCTGCATGCCTACAAGATTTTCACTAATAAATGTCTACACATGGCTACACTATTAGTCTCACAGGATATTGTTTTACACGCTTTCTTAATAATACTTTATCCAATTAACCGCAATCCATTCACATTCCCCTACGCTAACAAGTAAGTTTATTTTCAATACGAGTATACAAACGATGTTTCTTTGTAACTTAATTATTTGTGCAATGTTTCTTAGTAACTAATTTATTTGTGTTTCTTTTTTTAGGTGGTCTGTTTCGGAAATGAATTATCAAAGATGTCCCAGGAACTCCATAATCGTGTACCGCAATCTTATAGAACACATTGGGTCAGACGATGTAATTTATCTACCATTATTTTGTCTAATTGGTAACCACATACTTATATTTCTTTTAATTATATATATATATATATATATATATATATATATATATATATATATATATATATATATATATATATATATATATATATATATATATATATATATATATATATATATATATATATATATATATATATATATATATATATATATATATATATATATATATATATATATATATATATATATATATATACAAAATACTAAAAACCAACAAATTTTATAATTATTTTTAATTATATATTTTTTTAACAAAACTTTAAATATTATATATAAAAAAAACCCTACAACTGAGGCGCCATATGGTATGGTGACTCAGTGTAGGGTATGGTTTCCAAATTTATACCCTTACGCCATATAAAATGGCGACTCAGGTCAGGGTGACATTGATCAACCATTTCATATGGCGACTCCTTGTAGAAAGGTAGCCATTTTAATATTTTCTTTTTAGAATTTTGTTTTTATTTGATATTTTAAATGAAAAATTAAACATGGTTATTTTTAAAAAAAATCACACTTTTTGAAATTTATTTATGAAAATGATATGAAAATACTAATATGATATAATAAACAATTATATTGTCTTTAAAATTATTATTTTTTGTCATGTGTTATAATTTGCATCAAGGGTTTTTTTTTGGCTAATTTTTTTATTATATATATATATATATATATATATATATATATATATATATATATATATATATATATATATATATATATATATATATATATATATATATATATATATATATATATATATATATATATATATATATATATATATATATATATATATATATATATATATATATATATATAAAAGCTTTGCCACAAGTCATAAATTAAAACAAGGATATATATATATATATATATATATATATATATATATATATATATATATATATATATATATATATATATATATATATATATATATATATATATATATATATATATATATATATATATATATATATATATATATATATATATATATGTATTTATTTTGGGGTGAAATTTGTTTTTTTAAACTTATAAGGCTATTATATATCATAATAACTCAAACTTGAACAGCCTATTTGCCTCCATGTATGAATTACAAGTATCAATGATATTTTTAATGTCTGATTTCCAATAAAAGCTATATTAAAATATTTTAA